GGAGAGGGAGAAAGAGGAGGGGTGGGGTGGGAGGGACACAGAGCTGGGAGAAAGAGGGAAAATCATTTTCATATATGGTCGCTTTTAGGCACAAGGGGGCTATCCCGAAAAATGCTGCTTTGAGAAAATCGAAGGTTATGTTTTTGCCCCTTGTTCAGTTTCTTAAAATACAAGGAGAGTTTTCTCTATACCCAAACAAATATACACACCAATGATACCAAACTTCTCCAACAAGCAGGTAGGGCGTTGAACAGTTTTGGGGTAGATCTAGGTCAAGATTTCTTTAAACCCCAAAACTGGGTTAGCCCTCTTGTCCTTAAAAGCGACCATATAAGCCTATACAACTGAATATGTTATAGATATCTTGTAGGCGATAAACAAGAAAAGTCCTCTCGCCCACATGTCCTCATTATCGATAACACATCCCACAGCTAGAAGTTTGGACAACCCGAGTGAGCTCTGCCTTGTACTCACCCCTGTATTCTGCATCAAAGATTTCAATAATCCGTGCAATAAAACATGGATTTGTTAGGAGACGTTCAATTTAGTTCAGGAAGTAAACTTACTGCATATTCCAAGCGTGTGTCGTCAGATTTCTAAACTATCTTATTGTAATGGAGCTAAGCCCGTTTGTGGGGTTAGTATACATGTTTACACAAGGGCGCATAAAATCTCCAAAAATATGATTCAGTTAAGAATTCTCACAAAGGGTTACGTGGTCATATTTTCAACGTTCAGAAACTACCTTTTGACTTTTCAGGATTGGTGGTTTTTCCTGTAAATCGAAGCTCTCAGATGTTTTCACTCTGCCCTTAGCCATTTCATATTTTACTGGGGACTACTTCCTTTTTGAAACGTGCTTCGTCGTGTGAGCTGCTTCAGTTGTTTCCAGATCAAGAATCTCGATATCCAACTCATTTTTGATGTGTGCTTCGGAGTGTCGATATATACTTCAGGACAAAGTTAATTGTATTGACTTTTTTAAAGATATACTTTACTTTGTCATTTCCCCAACACTTTGAGTTCGTTTAGACACACAACATGTTTACTTCGATGTGTGGACGTTTTCAAAATGTGGTACGTAGTTGTTTTTTTAGTAGAGCCAGACTCTAGATCTAGACTATATTATGTCCAAGGTGTATTTAGAGCACAGTATTAAAGACTGATTTAGAGTAGTTAGCAAGAACAGAGGTGCTGCTTGTGCTTTTTTTTTACAGAAGGGGCAATAGTTTGAACCCTGTCATGGGGCCAAAACTGTGTCCTTGGTAGAGATAATAATAATATATTGTATGAAGTGGGAATGGGTACCTGGCGGTAGGCGAGAAAGATGTCTTGTACTTTTTTAATAGCAATATGCACCCAATCTTAATGTTAGATCATTATTGTTTCATTGAAGACGAGGGTTTGAGATTAGAAAGTGTATTCAGATGCAGCGGGAACATTGGTCGCTTTAAAGAACAAGCAGGCTAACCCAGATTTTGGGGGAGTCCAGAAATCCTGACCTACACCAAAGTGGGCGTTTCCCTATCTGTAGGAGAAGTTTGGTTTCAGTGGTGTGTATATTTGTTTGGTTATTTAAAACCTCTCCTTGTCTTTTAAAGAAACTGAACAAGGGGCAAAAAAACTTTACCTTCGATTTTCTCAAAACAGCATTTTTCGGGATAGCTCCCTTGTGCTTAAAAGCGACCTTTTGTGAGACGTGCTGACAAATTGAGTTACTTCTCGGATTTCAGCCTAATGGAAATTGATACATCAACTTTATCGGTGAAGTTTATACAATTGGTATGTATGGAATACTAAAAGACACGGTAGACATGAAGAAAATGGCATCAATTGAAATAAATCAATTAATCTGACTCCAGTGTCGATTTTTGGCCGATATATCAATTCTTGGATTACGAGAAGTAACTCATTTTGTCAGCGTGCCTCACATTTGACTGCGAGTTATAACCTTACCAATGTACAAACGTGTTAGCCCTATAGTACCCCCCCTCCCCCCAACCTTCCCCCACATCTCTAGCACGCAGTCCTCCCATTATGTAACTCTTCACCCCCCTACCCACCCTCTTTCCTCTCCTCTCTCTCTCTCTCTCTCTCTCTC